AGGAAGAATCTGGAAGCCATGAGAAAGGATGAGACTCAGGAAGCAACAGTGACGACACTGACTTCATTTTATAAATGCAGATGACTATTCATTCTTAAAAGAGATAAAAGTAATTAGTATGGGCAGTTTGAGAGTTATCTTTCAAAAACGCACCAGTGTGCTAGTTAACGACATATAAAACAGGAGGGGGTGAGCTGAGTAACAATGTCCTAAGTTCCCTGTTTTATTCAGGAGGAGGAGAAAGGAAGAAGGATTTCATCTTGAAGTTTCTTAGTAAATGCATTAAACATTTAAGAACGGAAATGGAATGTGTAACTTAAACCAGTGAAAGGGGAGGAAAACGAAACCTTAAACACTCCAAATGACAGTGAAAAATAAGGGGAAATGGTAGGAAAATCATGGCAACTGACATGCAGCCAAAAACATAAGTAAATCCAAATATATCAGTAATTACTGTGCATGCACATAGATCTTCTATGTATATCAGCTAAAAAATTGTCATTGTTAAAAAAATGCTTCACAAAGTCCAAATATACAGCAGCTGTAAAATATATTTAAAGCCTAAGGAAGTGGGAAAGTTTAAAATAAAAGGGCATAAAAGATAGACCAAACAACATTTTTATTTTGTTAAGATTTACTTTTATTTTTATGTTTGTATGTATGAGTGTATGTGCCACATACATGTGTGAGTGCCCTTTGGATGCCAGAGGAGGATATTGGATCCCTTGGAGCTGGAGTTACAGGAATTGTAAGCAGCCCGACGTGGGTACTGGGAACAGAATTCTCATGATAGGGCATCAAGCATTCTTAACCACTGAGCTATCTCTCCATCTCCTTGCCCAATATTTTTAAAGAACACAGTTTACATTAATATCATGCAAAATATATGGTAAAGCCCAAGTGTTGTTAAAGTAGATTCCTTATGTGTTGATAAGAGCAAATTTTCTAGGAAGATAAACAGTTCAATGTGTATGTCCACGTGCACATATATAACTTGATAGTCTCAAAAACGTACAGAGCAAAAGTTAGTAGAATTTGAGGGCAAATGAACAAATCTGTCATGTATCTCTCAAGAACTGATAAATGAAGCTGAAAAAATGAAGTCAGAGTATAGATTGTTTGAAAATCTAAAGACAAATGTGTTTTATGGGTTAGGGAATAAATTCCGTTCAATATTAAATATTTAGAGTGACTGAGAATATACAAACCGCATGTCATACACTTGTGAGATCTGGCTAAAGCTGCGGACAGAGGACAGTTAACCTTGAGTGTCTATGACAGAAATGAAGAGAACTGAATTGAGACCAAGTTAATGGACCAGAAAACAATGAGGCAGTAAGTCCATGAAGCCTGAAAGCAGTTATTTGAAAAGGTTTAAAAAACTACCCAAAGTCCTTACCCAAAGGTACAAGTTTTCTAATGCTAGAAATAGAACACAGCCAGTGAGTTCACATTTTGAATAAAAGGAGAAACAAAGAATAGTTGCCAAAACTTGAAAATCTGAGTTTAAGAGAAAATTTCTTAGAATAATATTCCATTGTGTAAATGTACCAGACTTTCATCATCTACCCATCAACTGATGGACATCTAGGTTGTTTCTAATTTCTGGCTCTAATGAAAATAATATAAATTGCCAAAATGGACACTATTAGAAATGGAAAATCCAAATCACCTGTACCCAGTATACAGCCCAATGAGGAATTCAAAACAATCTTTGTTGTGGGCCAGCAAGATGGCTCAGGTGGTAAAGGCACTTGCTACCAAACCTTAAGACCTGAGTTCTATCCCTGGGTCCCAACCATGTGCTCCCACAAATAAATAAATAAATAAATAAAATTCAAATATTTTTACTGAGCTTTGTGCATCTCAAATAACAGATCTTAATCAAATTTAGATCCCCTCCTCCATCCATGTCCCACTCCAGCACCCCCACAGAATTTCATGCATTCTGTCATATATCTCTAGTCAAACATTTATACCCAGATGTCCCTTGGTGCAAGTTGATCCACTGGCGCCTACTTAGCATATCTTAAAGAAGATATACTCTCCCTCACCCTTCAGTAGTAATCAGTTGCCAATAGCTCCTCGGCTATGGTTAGGGCCTGCTGTCCATTTCCGTAGTTCTATGCTGGGATTTTGTTTAACTGAGTCGGCATGGATCTTGTGCATGCTGTCACCACTGCTACAAGTTCATATGAGCAAGTTCCCAGAGGCCTGAAAACTTCTGTTTCCTTATGTTCATGTACCAACCCTGGCTTACAATCTTTCGGACACATACTCTGGAGTCTCTTATTCTCTAAAACTTGGACAGTTGTATGCATCGCACTCGGTTGTATAAGGAAGCTCCGCTGATGAGAGTCGAGGGATGTGTTAGTATTCGCCCTACCCCTTGTTCCTCTATGCTCCATGAACCTTAGGTGTCAAGATTCCACTGTAGATGTGTCACTTAGGGCTGGACATCTCTCAGACATGTATTTTCTGTGTATGACCGGTTGTGGAACTCTGTAACAGCCAAAGATGTTGCAAAAAGAAGCATCTTTGATGAGTGGTGTACAGTATACTTGTCTGTAAATACAATGATCCATATTTAACATACAAAAATTTCATTTGTCTAGAGATGACAGAGATAGGGCTTTCTCTAGGATCTATGACCTCTCCAGCCATATGTATTTGGCTATATCTATAGAGCCACTCATGAGTTCCCTCCCATTGAGAGGGCTTTAAGTCCAATTTGATACCTGTTGATTACCCCATGGATAACAGTGCCACTACTGCACCAAATAGAGATGGTTTGCTGTGCCAATCATTGTGGTCATTAGGCTTTAGAGCCAGGTTGGACCATTGATTTTCTCCTTTAGCAGCTTGCGTAGTATCCTTTAGAACTATGAGAGCTCGTCTTCAGGGTGAAGGCTTCCAGTTCAGTTCCAGGTTCATTGCTCCAAGCCTTATATCCAAAGTATGCCCTGTCGTCAGTAAAGGGTCTTACCTTCAAGTTCTGGGAGGTAATCAAGGGCTGTAGCAATAACTTGTGTTGGGGGGGAGTCTCTTGGACTACTCTGACCAACAATTCATAGGGAAATTTCTTCTGTCTGGCACTGTTTCTTGTTATAGAGCCTTCAGGTATACACATGTTCAGATATTATATGTGTATTTTTCAAAGGGGGGCAGTTATTATATTTTCCTCTGGCTTTTTGCTCCTCTTAGCCTTTATTATCTTTCCTCTCTTTCTCCCTGCCTAACCTCCCTCCTCCCTCCCCAGTTTAAGTACCCCCATTTTCCCCATGATAATACCCGTCTCCTATCATCACCCCCTCTGGAGTTCTTTCTTCCCCTTTATCCCTATGGTTCATTGTATGTCCTTCCCTCTTCCCTTCCCAATTGAATACCCCCATTTCCCCTTTGGTAACATCTGTTTCTTACTATCCTCCTCTCTCAGCCCTTTCTTTCCCTTTGTCTCCTTGGTTCCTTTCCATTTTCCTGGCCCTGCTGTTACACCAGGATATATACTCACATATAAGGGATTGTTCCTAAGATCCATAAATGAGGGAGAACATATGTCACGTGCTTCTCGGTTATACTATACTTCACTAAGTATAGCAGTTTCTAGTTCCATTAATTTACCTGTAAATTTCATGATTTCATCTTTTCTTACTGCTGAGTAGAATTCCATTGTATAAATGTACCACATTTTCATCAGTCATTTGTCAGTTGAGGGACATTTACGTTGTTTCCATTTCTTAGCTATTGTGAAAAGAGCAGCAACAAACATGGATGAACAGATATCTCTGCAGTAGAATGAGTCCTTTGGATATGTGGCAAGGAGTGGTATAACTGGATCATATGGTAGGTTCATTTTAGTTTTTTAAGAGTCCTCCACACTGCTTTCCACAGTAAGTGCATGAGTTTGAAATCCCACCAGCAGTGAATGAGCACATCCTCCCTTTCTCCACATCCTCATCAGCATGTAGTATCTTTTGTTCTCTTGATCTTAGCCAGTCCAACTGGGGTAAGATGGAATCTTAAAGTGGTTTTGATTTGCATTTCTCTAATTACTAAGAACTCTCCGTTCATGTCCATCTTTGTATTGTGTTGCTTATTTTCTTGTTTGTTTTTTTGAGTTATTTGTATGTTTTGGATATTAATCCTCTGTCAGACATGAAGCAGGTGAAGATTTTCACTTACTCAGTGGGTTTCCTCTTCATTTCCTTGATTGTTTCTTTTGCTGTACAGAAGCTTTTTAGTTTAGTGAGGTCCTGTTTATCAGTTGCTGACCTTAATGCCTGAGCAGCTGATGTCCAATTTATAAAGTCCTTTCCTACACCTATGTCTTGTAAGGTACTGCCTATGTTTTCTTCTGCAGTTTCAGACTTTCAGGTTTGAGGTCTTTGATTGATTTGGAGTTAGCTTTTGTGCAGGGTGAAAGATTAAGTGTCCAATTTCATTCTTCTATAGGTGGAGATTCCATTTTGCCAGCACCATTTGTTGAAGATGCTGTCTGTATTCTTGGCACTTTTGTCAAATATCAGGTGTCTGAAATTGCATGTAATCATGTTTGGGTCGGCTATTATGTTCCATTAATCTCTCTGTGTGTGTGTGTGTGTGTGTGTGTGTGTGTGTTTCCTCCAGTATGGTGCTATTTTTATAACTATAGCTCTATAAATGTAATAAATCATATAAATGAACTTAAAGACAAAAGTCACATCATTGCCTCAATAGATGCAGAAAAGATCTTTGACAAAATTCAACTTTCATTTGTGTTAAAAGTCCTAGAGAGAATTGTACTGGAGGGAACATATCTCAACATAATTAAAGCTATACACAACAAACCCACAATCAACATCCTTCTAAATGGAGGAAAACTGGAAGCATTCCCACTAAAACCAGGAACCAGACAAGGCTGTCCACTATCTCTGCTCCTTTTCAATATAGTGCTTGAAACTCTAAATAGAGCAATAAGACAAGAGAAGGAATTCAAAGGCATACTAATTGGAAAAGAAGAGGTCAAATTATCACTACTTATACATGGTATGATTTTATACAAAAGAGATCCCAAAAATTCCACCATAAAACTGCTAGAAAAGATCAATACTTTCAGCAAAGTGGTAGGTTACAAAGTCAGGCATGGCTGTGAGTGCCTGTAACCCAGCATTGGGGGTGGAGACAGGTAGATCCTAGAAGCTCTCTAATCAGACAGTTGACCTGAAATGGGAAGTTTCCAGTTCAATGAAAGACCCTGCCTCAAGGAAATAGGTGTAGAACAACAGGAAATACCCAGCATCTTGCTCTGGTCCCCAAGTGTACATGCACAGACACACACAGACTCATTTGCATTCACCACACACACACACACACACACACACACAGACTTAGTTCAATAGGCTGGGTATAGTTTACTGGTAGAGTGCTTCTCTACATGCACAGTGCCCTAGGTTTAATCTACAACAAACAAAAAAAAAAATGAGTTGAATTCATATTTATAGCAGCTAATGATGACAAGAAAACATAATTTTTAAGAGACTTTTTTTTTGGAGTACTGGGATTTAAAGCATGCACCACCATGCCTGACTTAAGAGAGCCTATTCTTGACAACCCAAAAGAACAACAATAACAGACCCCACCAAACACAAAAGCCCAGTGTTCACTCAGACTGTGACTGGCTTCCATTCCAGCTTAGCCCCAAAGGACCTGGTTTTTCATATTGCCCTCGCAGGAGAATCTTGGCTCTCCTGAGACTTCTCTACAGTGTCTGTACTGGGATGGTTCTGTTTCCCATTGGCCATCTACCCCTCCCCAGCCTTTATTAAATAGCTGATATGCATTGGATATGTGGCTTGATCTAGCACCTGGTTAACATGTTACCGTCTCTCAGAGCCCACACCCCTCTCTAGATACAGGTCAGTCATCTCTGTTTTGACCCCAGTTTCTGTATGTCTCTCCCTCCCTTCCTCCCTCCCTCCCTCCCTCCTTTGACTCTCTGTCTGTGGTCATCTCTTCTTCATCCCACTTTCACACTAATTCAGGAGCACTTTAAGAACAGAGCATGTCACAGGATGTGATGGCATTCAGCTTTAATCCCAGCCCTCAGGAAGCAGGGGCAGGCAAATCTCTGGGAGATCAAGGCCAGTCTTGTCTGCATAGTGACTTCCAGGAAGGCTGGGACTAGGGATACCCTGTCAAAAAAGAAAATAAAATAAACAAACAAAAAACAGAGCATGCCACCTGAGCTGTGGCATCGCTACCTGCCAGTGCCCTCCCTTTTGCGGTCAGCATCACTCGCTTTAGCTCGCTTCTGTGTGAGGCTGAGTAGTCACAGTCATAGGGAGTGGGCTCTGCCTTTTTTTCTTGTCAGTTACAGTTAAATGTAATAGTTTTAACCAAGAGAGAGGAAAGAGGGGGGAAGATGGAAGTGGGGAGGGGAGGGGGATGAAGGAAAGAAAAGAGGAAAAGAAGGGGAAGGAAGGGAATGGGGGAAGAGAGGGGAGAGAGAGAGAGAGAGAGAGAGAGAGAGAGAGAGAGAGAGAGAATTCTTGGATGCACAGACTAGCCTAACCTCATTGCTACATTCTACTCAGGAACAGGCAGATAAGATTAGGAAATAAAGCTACCCATAAGTAGATCATCCAGGGATCTGAGTGAGTGGAGGGTAAAAGTGGAGAGTGGAAGGGCATGACCTTGAACTTGGAACTGTACTAAATCTTAGCTATTCAAGCGGATTATTTTTGAAGTTGAAGTTTTCTGTTAGCAAAAGGGCTCACAAGACTAACTAGGTAAGGCATCAAAGGCAGAATTGGGCTTTGATGCATTGTCTTCATGGCACGTCAGGTAAGTACAAGAAAGCTGCTGGATAGGAAGCCTTGAGACCTCTGAAACTCAGAAGGTAGCAGGGAGATCTTTTGGTATGCAAGTACTGCCCCACACTCTGACAATCCGAGCTGGGAAAGACCTCTTCTCTCACTCTCACATGTGCCTTTGTTTAAACCTCATCCTCTCAAATGCAGGCGTTTGAGTTTTCATGCCACTCCACAGTCAGTATATTCAGACAGCCTGCGGGGGTTAAAATGAGGAAGTTTCCAGCCCATATTCCAGTTTGGTTCCCCCCCTCCCTTTTTACCAACACACTTTGCTGGATAGAAATCAAGTCGATAAGTAGAGGAATAGATTGAATCCTTTTTCCCCACTCCTTGCTATTAATTCTGGTATCCTAGGAGTCAAACAAGGAATCAACTTATTCACAAGAACCTGTGAAGGAGAAAAGAAATTTCCTGTTTTGATTAGAGATTGCAATGGTTAATTAGAAATACCTGTGCAGCCCTGAGGGGACACAGCCAGAGAGGGAAGGCTTCCCACACATTTCATTTTTTCTTCTTAAACTTAGATATACTTGGAAGCTTCTGGGAGAAGCAGATTCAAACTCATGACAGTGTGGGTGCAGTTTACCCATTGAACTTGAGAGGCCCTGGACATGCTAAAGAGTCAACACTGCACAGCAAAGGAAAGAGTGTGAAGAATGGCTCCATAAGAGCAGAAGAGCTGAACCAGAGTGCTAGAGCATGCCTGCTTCCCAGCACCTCGAAGTAGAGGCAGGAGGATCAGGAGTGCAAGGTGATGCTTAGCTACATAGCGAGTGAGAGGCCAGTCTAGGATGCAGGAGACCCTGCCCTTAAAAAACAAACAAACAGGGCTAGAGAGGTGGCTCAGTAGTTAAGAGCACTGACTGCTCTTGTAGAAAACCCAAGTTCAATTTCCAGCTCCCACATGGCACCCACATGACAGCTAACAACAGTCCTAGGGGATCCAGTGCTCTCTTCTGACCTCCGTGGGCATTGCATAACACAGACACACTTTCATACATGCAGGCAATACACATACACAGAAA